CCCCAGGGACCTGTCCCCCATCCCGGTCCCTTTAAAGGTCCCGGGGGAAAACCAAAAGGGCTCCACCCCCCCCCACATCGGGGGGAAAGGTTGGAAAACTTTTTTTATTTTTCTGGTTTTTTCCCCCCCCCTTTTTCCCCCCCCCCCCCCCCCCCTCTCTCTCTCTCTCTGTCTCTCTCTCTCTGTCTGTCTGGCAGTAGAGTGCCCCGAAGGGGGTGCCGCGGAGGATAGTTAATTTCTCCATATGGGGAAGTTCAACTGCTCCGGCACGCATGCTCCACCTTCGTACCCTTGGGGTTTGATAGGCATACCACATTTTGGCCGAAACTCTTGTCTGTCATCACGATGAGAGACGCGTCAAAATGAAAGACACGTTTGTTGTCCTTTTCGAGGCGCAGCGCGAGCCACTCGTCCCGCGCCTAGATAGCATAACTCCCAAACACGCCCACACACACCTATGTTAAGCCAGTATCTTCCTCTGAACTGCTTTGTCTCCGCTTGGACCTGAGCCCCTTGGTCTTCCCGCGAGGCTAGGATGTGAAAGATTGGCTGAGAGGGAAAACTCGAACAAATACACGCTGTGTATTTGGTGGGTTGATTTTTCGACGGCCAGGAAAAGCTACCGTGCCGTGTGCATAGAGACCACATGTCTCATACCCCGAACAGCTGCATTTTCCCCCAAGGGTCCACGTTGACTCCCCCCCCCCCCCCCCCCCTTCAGATCGCGAATGCTACCCTGCTCTGCCCTCAACTTGCCGCATGCACCAAACCGTTACATCTATTGGTCGAACAACAACGCCGCAGGAGACGGGAACGTCGTGGTGGCGAGGGGCCCGAAGCCGCTGTTGACCGCAGGAGCAGCAGCAGCCGGCGACGCTGGCGCCACCCTCTGGCAGAGCGGGCCGCTTCCTTCCCTGACGCAACAGCAACAGCGGTCCCCCGGAAAGCCCGGCGACAACGGCAAGGACAAGAGCGGCGGCGGGAGCGGCGGCAGCTGCAAGAAGTGTCAGGTCAAGGTGACCAAGGAAGGGACGCTGGCACTGACCCGGGGAAGGGAGGAGCTCGCGGTGTTCTCGCCGGCGTGGACGGAGGCGTTCTTTGACATCCCTCCGCGCGGCGACAAGTGGTAAAGACATGGGAGGTGGGGGGAAGTCCGAAAAAGGGGTCCCGTCGGCGGTCGAAGGGAAAGGGACTGTGTGGCAGTACAGTGGAACCAACCAAACCGCGCATGATCATCAACGGTATTCCTCTCAACAAGTGCTGTTAAGCATGTTCCGTTTTACAATGGACACGGTCTTGTAGTCTCTGTTGTTTTTCTGGAGTGGCCGAAAAGTGTTTTGTGGTGTTGTTGCCGACGAGGGCGTTAGACCCCAGAATCCTTTCGAAGCGGGCTTGCGCCGACCGGGTAGTGGTGGTGGTGGGCGAAGGGGGAGTGTACCCACTTACTGTTTTCCACGGGTCCCTTTGGGAGGGTTCTCTCTTGCTGTTGGCCATGGGGCCCTTGGGGAGGGTACTCACTTGCTGTTGGTCATGGACCCCTTTGCGTGGTATCCCTAGACAAAAAGGGGCCGTTTCCCTTTCTGGCCCACGCCGGGTGCTTTGAAGACCGGGCGGGCAGGTTGGTGCTGAGCGAAGATCGCTTGCACCGCCTCACTGTCGTGATGCCACGTCGGTTGGCGGCACTGTCGAATAAACTTATCTTGACGTGTCAGTCGGACAGCGCATCCTCTTGGTGCTACGGCTGTAGGCTGGACATGAGTGAGCAGCGCGAAGGGCGCAGCAGGGAGCGTCGCCGTGTCAATTCCCGAGAGTCGGCTTGAGAATTTTTATTGGCCTGACAAGGCGTCCTGTTCCTTGGCGCTCTCACTGATTCGTACGGGCGACAAGCTTGGATAGAAGTAGTAGTGCCGTCTCTGTTTTCTTGCTTCCGACGCTACCGCCTCTTGAAGACGGCCGAAGTGTGTTGGACACCCGCTAGAGGTTGACCCGGGTGTAGCACAGGTATCATGCGTAATCCTCTCGAGAGTCCCTAGACATTTCGGGGCAGGGGGGCGGGGGGCGGGAGGGTGCAGCTTGTGCATGGCCGGCGCACTCGTTTTCGCGATTTTCACCGTCCCACGCTGCAGCGGTCGTTGTGTGCTCGCGCACAAGCTGGCCGTGGCCGCAGCCGCCGACGCAGAACGGCGCCGCCGCAGCAGCAGCAGCAGCAGCAGCGAGGCGGGTGTACGCGGAGGTGCGGTCACGGATGACCGCCAAAGTCGTCAGACCATAACACAGCCTTCGGTATGGCGCGGCGGGGCGAGGTCGGGGCAATGAATGCATGGGGAAGGGGAAAGGAGGTCGGTGGATAAGGCGGGGGCGATTAGGAATGAGGAGATATGGGAGTAGGGTGGGCAAGAGGACATGTTCGAGCACGGAAACTCTCTAAGATGGTGGAGTGAGAGGATGGTATTGTGCCGGTGCTGGCAATGGTTTCTTGTAATCTCTCTCTCTCTCTCGCGTTGCGTTGACTTGCTGTGTGCTTTGCTTTGCTTTTCTGAATGGTGTAATAATGTGTGGGGAAGGGAGTGGGGATGAAAATTGAAAGTGTGGGTGGGGTCCGTGAAAGAAGTCAGTCGTGAATGACGTACGTAAAACAATTTACTGTATTTTTGGTGTGCAGGCTTGGGGCTGTCTTGTGGTGGTGTTGCCGTTGGCTTGGATTTTGCAGAGCGTTATGTTTTCTTCGCGATTGGCATGCGCAAGGACGGGAAGGGGGAAGGGCAGACGGGGGAGGGGGCACCGTTAATGCGTTGTTCAGCAAGATTTGCCAATCAGTCATGTCAGCGCTTCATTGGAGCAACCATCCCCCCACACTCGTACTGTTTGCAACCGTGGTGTTAGATGCGATGCACCGTTCATTCGAACCGA